TTTTTTTTTATAAGTCATTGAAATTACATCTGCAACTGAATATATTTTGGAAAAAACCCAACTCAAAATGCCTTCCAAAGTGAATTTAGCCTTAATGTACACAAAATGGCTATAATTCAGTCAGTTTAACAGATAATGAGCTAAAGTTTGGTGTAGTGGTAGCTGAAAGTCACTTCCACCACAGACTCTGAGTGCTACTAGATCATGCAAGATCTTTGTTCAGAGATTTTGGGCAAGGCAGCAAGTAATATGCATCCATTCAAGGAATTTAATTTAATGCATGCTCCTTGGTAACATGTTACACAATAAGTAACAAACCTGGAATACAAACGAGATTTCCCAAGCAGTTATTATTCATTATGATTCAATACGTACATATATAAAGAGAAAAAAGGTTGACGGTGTTGCACAGTCCTGAATACAGAATCGATAAATGTTGTATTGGACAACTCAATCTTACTTTGGAGACATTCTTTAAAATATTTATCCCATTGGGGACAAATGGATTAGGCAGCAGTGAGTTATACAAGACAATAATTATCCCATTTGGTGCAGAAGATAAATAAGCAGATATTGTTGACTGGCATGAAGGAGTCTTGTGTAAACTTTGAAAAGGAAATGCGTCTAGTTAGTTTACTTCCTACATAAAGAAGAAAACATTTCAGGAAGACTGAGCCGGTGAGATACCTGCGTATAGCGACTGTCATGGCCTCAGGAGAGGCAGCACAGGGACAGATGACCTCTGGCTTCAACCCGTGTGACTGAAACAGATTCAGGAAGGCATCGCAGGAAGAGACCGACCCTGAACAAGAGGACAGAGGCAGTTCAATGTGTTGCAACACAGCTGAACAAATATGGCATTAATGAGGTACTCACAAGGGTTAGCACCATCAGCAACAATGAGCATTCGTAGAGAAGCTAGACTGATATCTCTCTGGTCCCGGTGAGCCATCATGGCCCAGTGTAGATCACGGCACTTCACCAAAGCTACACGAGCTGGAAAAAGCAACGTGGCAAAACATTACACAAATCTTTTAATACAACATAAGATCAGCTGGAAGAGTGGTGTGCGTTACCTTTATGGATGTGGACCCTCTGCACCCAGGAGAGGGGACAAGCTTTCATGACTGCATAGGGAACACTTATCGTGTGTATCCTGTTCATTACAGCCTGGGAAAAAAGAGCAAAAACAAAATTATTTGAGCTTTCATCACATTGCAACGACCCACAACATGACATTCTAATATAAGATGTTCTTCAATGACTCATATTTATTTGTCATGATTTGACCACAGACAGGTGGACACTTTTTTAAAATCAGTTTAAATAGCAAACTCTAAAGTTAATTTGAAAGCGGTGTTCTCAAACGTTCGAGTCAAAATTCAAATACAATTCAGTTTGTTTACATAGCGACAAGTCACAACAGAAGTCGTCTCAGGGCACTGAACAGAAACATTCGTATATAGAAAGTCAGTTAATAATGTTATTTATCTAAGGAGCCAACAGACTGCTTTGAGTCTTCACTTCATCTAAGTCTCCCATCCTAAGCAAGCACAGAGGCAGCAGTGGAAAGGAAAAACTCCCTCATGAGGAAGAAACCTCCAGAAGAACCAGGCTCAGGACAAGCGACCATCTACTTCGACCAGGACGCTGATCCAAAGAATAAATATTATGAATTACAAGTCTTTTTTTATTTATGGAAATTTGTTAGTAGTAGCACGGTGGCTCAGTTGGTAGAGATGCTGCCACTCAGCGAGAAGGTTGCTGGATCAAATCCTGACTGAGGACCTCTCTGGGTGGAGTTAGCATGTTCTCTCCGTGCATGCGTGAGCTTTCTCCGGGTACACCGGATTCCTCCCACAGACAAAAAACATGCATCTTAAGCTGACTGGTAACTCTAAATTGTCTCTAGGTGTGAGTGACAGAGTGAATGGTTGTTTCGTTTGTCTCTGTGTCCCTGTGATGGACTGGAGACCTGTCCAAGGTGTCCCCCGTCTCTTGCACAGTGATTGCTGAACATGGGCACCAGTGACCCCCATGGTGCGAAAAACGAAGAGGCGGGTAAAGATAGATGAATATATGGATTTTTTTTTTATATCTTGCAAAAAGCATTATGTATTACAGTATTATGGCCCATTAGCCTTTTTTATGAACCTTGAATTTATCAGCAGAGGCCTAAACACCCACCGTGAGGACTCCATGCCATAAGCCCATATCCTTTTTGAAGTCCAGGACGTTCACTAAGGTTTCCCCTGAAAACAAAATTATATAAAAAAGAAAAAAAAAGTCACCTCTGTTGTTTTGGTGAAAACACTCTCTTGTCAGACGATAGCAACAAACCAACTCTACTCACCCTCACAGTAGTTGCAGGCCTGGGTCAGTGCCTGGCAGTGCGTCAGCATGGCCACTTTAGACACAGCAACACCCACCACTGTGCCCTCTTTATTGGCCTTATACTGCACATGTCAGGGGAACATGGGAAAACTTGTGCAAAGTATTTCACATCAAACTTAAATGCAGTTTTTCTTATTAAAATAGCTACAAAAAGCAGTTGAAATGTTATTTAAAACCTGTAGATTCATGGGAAATGAGCGGTATTACCTCAATATACCCAGGATCAGTGTTAGCAGTGGGAATGTGCGGCTGCCAGTCTTTAGACGGCTTCGTCAGGTATTTTGAGTCCGTTATCACCCACTTCATTCGAGGCCAACCTAACAGAGTCAAAAGGAGAAATAAAGTCAAACATTTTAGGAAAATTCACACATTTTATTAAAAACTGCTCTCTACTTTAAATGCAGTAAGAAAGTCCAAATGAGGCTGCAATGTCTTTTGATGTGCATCTTGTATTAGTTGTTGTATTGCCGCTCTCACCTTTAAACTGCAGTATTTCACCGGTGGGGGTCTTCGGTAGACCTTTTAGGCAGATCTCGCTGGTCAGAGCCAGACCCACACCACAGCTGCCGAGCAGGAAGCCCACCTGACTGATACCTGCATCCTAAGTGCACCACAAAGGGAAAAGAACCGTGCTCAGGTGCAAAAAGAAAAGATGTCTGTGAGGGATATTTCTGTGATGGTTTTCATACCTTCCGAGACAGCGGGACCTCGATGGGTACAGGTATAACCTCAGCCAGGAGGCAGCCGTAGAAGGCCACCCAAAACATGCCAGGATCACTGTTTGGGTACACCAGCGCCACCTACCAAGACAATTATTTTCTTTGTGGGGTGGTTTAAAAATAAAAATAAAGTTTTCCAAATTTCTTTTGAATATGATAACATTTACAGACAGGCACTAAATATAATGCACAAGTGATGTGATGGGAAGATGTTTTACTGATAATTTATCATAAATTACCATTTTGGCTGAGAAGACACACATTCTATCTATTCTTGTTTCCAACTGAGTCGCTTTGAACATATTTTTACTTTTGATGATAATTTATTAATGAATTCAGACGTGAAAATATAATCTAATCTTACTTAATTTATTCTTTTTGAATTCAATGTTTAATATTTTTATGTCTAAAACTCTTAAAGTAAAACATATTAAGTGTAACATTTACTTTTGGTTCTTATTTTGAGTCAAGTAATTGTTGATTTTTATTGTTTTAACAATTTCTATCTTAAATCTTCATTCTCTATGACAATCAAAACGGTTTTAATTTATTTTCTTTAGTTGTGGAGTTTTTGGGTCTGTGTTTTTCCCTGAAATACATTTTGTATCACTCCCAGCTGTTTGAAATGTGCTCAACAAGCACATGCTAATTGATTCTCTGACAATATCCTATTTTATAAAGGTTGGCATTGTAACGAGGCAAATAAAGTAGTCCCTCGATACTTTGTGGTTCGACTTTCATGGTCTCACTATTTTGTGGGTTTTCAATGTAAGATTGTACACGACACACGATTGGTGATGGGAAAACAGACCCCTGCCCCCTCCTTTCTCTTTCTCTGCTGTGACAGACAGCCTCAGAAAGAGAAAGGAGGGGGCGGGGAGTGGGGGCTGTCGTTCCCCATCACTACTGTTCAGGGCGCAGGGATGAACAGATCAGATCAACAAATGTAGAATATCAAAGAAAATGCTTAGGTGGAAAAATAAGAGTGAATCAGTTTAAACAAAGAGAGAGAGTGGCTGAGTGCGGCTAACTCAAAGGTATAAGATAGACCCCACCCCCACCCCTCCTTTCTCTTTTAGATGCTGTCTGTCACAGCAGAGAAAGAGAAAGGAGGGGTGGGGGTGAGTCTATCTTCCCCATTGTGTCCCAGAGACACACAACAGGTGGGTGCGCAACAGACAACCTCGGAAAAAGAAAGGAGGGGGTGGAGGGGTCTGTCTTATACCTGAGTGAGCTGCTCGAGCGGCATGGATGGGAACGGTGCTCCCGATGGCCAGCTTGCCCTGGGGCTCGGTAACCGTAGCATAAGTCTGTCTGCTCTCTTTCGCTGTGCTCTTTTAGAGCATTTAGAGAGTTTAGAACATCGTTAAGGATATTGCAAGAGTGTGGGTTTATGAAGCCTTAAATATATGTAAATACTAAAGTAAATATAACATCCCTACTTTGTGGATTTTCACCTGTCGCAGGTTTGTGTCCGAAATGTAACCCCTGCGACAAGTGAGGGACTACTACTACTACTGAACTGTAACTCACATCATAAAATCAGCATCCAGCATCTGTTCACGAGGCGCACACAAGGTCCTCATTTCTAAGATCAGACTTTAAACTTTCGAAAAGGCCTAAAAATAAGGCTCGATAAGGAAAGTTTAAATGATTATTAAAAGATGACGACACCTTTAACTGTTTTTCTCTCGTCATTTTAGATGCAGCTTTCATCAAACTGCAGGTTTATTATCTCTGACTATTTTAGCCAGTGATTTTGCATTTTTATTTCTAAACTGAGTTGTGAATTGTTTTTCATGTTTACATTACTTTTGTAGTTTTTATTTTTATTGTTTGTTTCTTTGAGTGAAGCCCCTTTTCTGTCAAGCTTGCTTGATTTTTTTTTTTTAGTTCATAAAATCAGCCGTGTTCAGCCAGTTATGGACGAACAGCGTACTTTTTACACTTCTTCTCTCGGTGGTGAAACTAGAACAGGAGTTATGGCCACTTCTTTAGATTTTTTCACCTGTGCTGAACAAAGCCCTGCTGTTTGTGTGTGTCTGCTGCCTCACTCTGTCTCCAGGTTTGAGGATTTGCTCGTTCTTGTTGCCCAGCTTGTTGAGAAGCGTGTATGCCAGCTTCACACTGCGGCTCCACAGCTTCCCTAAAACACAGAAGAAAAACTCATCCTACAGAGTTCATGTTTGCTGAAAACCAATACAGTATCACCTGACAGTTCTGTTCAACTTTATCGTTGTATCTTTGTTGTTTCTTGTCATTTTTTTGTTTATAAATCCACTTTGTTGGAGCCCCTGTGGAAGTTTGCATGTCTGAGTCCTTCCTCCACACACCGTGACAACAGGTTCTACACTTTAAATGTATGAATCTTGTGTCTCACCGTAAGTCAGTGTATAGAGAGGTTTGCCTGTGATGTCCAGAGCAGTGAGAGCTGGGCTCTTTCCCTGAGTGGCCCCCCAGCGAGCCAATGCTGCCTGCAGGGCGGGGGGCCAGTTGCTGACGACTCCCAGAGGTTCCCCTTTCACCGGGATGATCTGACGGCCCTCTGGCTTGGGCGTGTTGGGGTCCGGCTGGGGAACTACAACAGATAGACAATAGAAAGCTTCTGGGAAAGTTTCAGATTAATGAAACTCGTTCTAAATACCATCGATGTAAAACGATGCCCAGACGGTTCAACTTGCTTTTACTGCACTTTTATATCATAATCTCTGCTACTTAAATGGTAAAATACATCAAATCTGCTGCTCTTCCTTTTGTTTTAAAACACAAATCAACCTATATTGTTATTTACACAATGACTTAAACATATGTTGTGCAACTTTGCATTCATTAAGTGCTTTTAAATTTGGAATCAACATGTGTAAACAAACACGTTTCCTTTTTTATATATGGTAAGAAGTATTTTGTTACTGATATACTGATCAATACAAGATGTTCTAATCAGAAAAAAAATATATTGCTAAGTTATTTTACAATTAATATTAATAAATTTCTTGCCTGTATTTTATAACAATCAACAATCATGTCTGAATTGTTACAGAACAAAAAGTGTAAACAATGATCAAACTTGTAATTGCCTTAGTAAACACAAATCATAAATATACAAAAATGACTGATATAAATTATAAAAACAGAACTGAAATAGCTTAATTCAATTATCAAACTATCCTAATTATAATTGATTTTAAAAGTATAAATGAAAACGTATTGATAATAGTCCCAATCATCGTTTCTGTTTTAGTTCTAAATCAGTTCTTTTTAACGTCTATTTATTTGAATATCAAAATATCCACACCTTTAACAAAGGGGTAAAATCACAGAAAATGTGTGATTTGTGCAAAAATACTTGAGAATATGTGTTTTATTATGATTTGTTTTTGTCTATTTCATTTATTATCAATTGCTGTGGCACCAATTCTTATTATGTGTCGGTTTCATTTTAAGGAACTCTGCCTTTACATTAACTTAACGATATTCATGTTTAAAGCATCTCGTGAGGCCGCGCACCTTGGACAATCTCCTCTGCGTCGTCAGTGAAGAACTCGCTGAGCGGCGGCCTCTTAGGCCTCTTCAGCGTGTTGAGCAGCTGCTGGATCTTTGTGGACACTCTGCTGCTCACAGGAACTCCTACATGCAGGGAGAAGGTGGACAAAACAGCAACAGCGGGACCAAAGTTACACATTTCATGACTCGTAAAGCGACGGCAGCAGAAGACCTGTTTAAACGTTGCAACGTCTCACAGTCTGCTGTTCTTCATTCCATTCCAATGTGTTTATTGTTAATCCATCATGAGCTGACTAATTTGGGAATAAAAAGCAGCAGCACAGGAAGGTGCCATCATCATCACAGGGGGGAACACAGTGAGAACTGAGAGGAAGGACTTCTGGATCAGGAGCACACATGAGGACTCAGAGTGTGGACATTATATTTCCTTCTAAGTTCATTCCGCACAAATAGGAGGGAGAAAAGGGGTTCACCAGGAAACAAAAATAAAGGCTGTGGACATTATAAATGAAGGCGTTTCCTTACTCTGTGTATTACCTCTTCCTATCAGCCGGTCAAATATACATGACAGGGCGGAAAAGATCAAGAAGAAAAGAAAGCAGCAAAGTCTGATTAATAAAAAGCCACCGCTGGAGGCCAATAAATGTTTGGAGGAATCAGACAACAGCTAACAAACAGAAACACAAAATAAAGTCTGAATGTTGCATGAAGCAGCCGTTACCATCGGCGGTCTCCATCATGCTCGAGCGGCTTTGCACGCGACTCATCCCTCGGACCACGGCTTTGGAGGGCAGGTCCACGCGCGGGCCCCTCGATGGAGGGGCCACAGCTGTCACATCTGGAAAGGGGGCACTGTTCTCAGGAGGAGCTGTGGAGACAACGTGTGAACAAGGACACTAAATTATGCAGTGGTGTAGTTTACATGATACTCGGGTATACCCACTAGAAAAGCTAAAAAAATTAAGTATACCCCCTTAAAAGTGCCCAATGATACATGACATATCATGAGGCACATGTCACTGATACGTTAAACAGCAGTTAAACGCTTCCGTTACAATCTATCAGTATGCACCACTTGTTTATTACATTCGCTTACCCAGCGAATTATTGTATAATTAATACTTCTGTACTTACTACTTAATACTTGAACATGTTTTGCTTTGATACTGTTTGATAAATTCTATAACATGTTTTTTAATACAAAGCCAACTGTTGTACAAAGTTTGTTGTTCATTTATTCAAATATAAGCATCAGAGAATTTTAGAAATGTTCAATATGCTTAAAAATCAAAATAAAGTGACAATTACATTGTACTAACCAGTTTACTTTGGTTTCTAAGCACAGTATATGGACCGACCGTGGTAAAGTTAGTTTTACGTTGGACATTCGCGCTTCGTGGCTTCAACGGTGCCCAAAGTCCAATGTGAAAGTAACTTTACTGCGGTATACCCACTACAAATATTTAGACGACGTCACCGAATTGATGCCAAGTCAAGTTTTAGAGATCTGCTCTACTTCTACTGGATTATTTAATTGTGTGAAAGTATGATTTAAAATAACAATCATTCTTTATAAACTAGTAAAACAAGTGGCTTTTGCTAATATTTAAACAAAAGACACATTTAAGAACAGTGTAAAAGTTGTGTCAGGAAGTTCAAATTATAGGAACAAAACAAAGATGGGGATTTCTGAAATGAGAGACTGAATGAATGACTGTCCAAAGCATTATTAAAACCTGGAAGGTGACCCATCATCTGTGACGAAGACAAAAATCAGCAGGATGTGAAAAAATGTCTGCAGTTGCTGTAATTGTCACTAGATATTGTTTGAGTCCAAAAGCATGCATGTTAGAGAGCCTTCAGGCCGCCTGTGCAAAAAAAAATAAAAAATCTGTGATCTCAATGAGATTCGACTGGTTAAATAAACGTTAATAAATAAATAAATAAATTAGTTTTAATGTTAGGTGAATTGAATTCAACGGAAATCAGAGTTCATGGTGATGTTTAGCTGGAAAAAAAGAAGCATTTTTTTTTTTCACATACACAGCTATGTCCAAAGTACAACTAAATATTATTAAAGCTAACAAAATAATCAATTTGCTTTGTGGCAAAAAAGTAAAAAGAGCTGCAGATCAGAATCTGGTTTCACCAACAAGGAATCTGACTCTAGTCTCACTCTTGTAAGCACATATTAAACAAATTACTCAACATAAAGATAAATAAAAGGTGGATAGGAATAAGTTTAAATAGATAATAAAAGACAGCACACATATGACATAAGTAAATATAAACCAATAAATGAAAAGTTAAGGTTGAAGCCTACATATGAAATATTAATATTTACACGAGTGTTTCATCACTGCAGGTGTTTGAGCATAATTCAGACTCAGCCGGAGTGTTTTTTGTTCAGCGATCTGTAGCTCCGCCCAGACGACAGAGGAGAGGTTGACTCCTGGATGTGAGGGGCCTCTGATGATACCACTAGCCTCCGTTTCCTTACTGTGAGGAGATCAGGGCCTGTATGGAGGCACCAGTGATCCTCTGCAGGCCGTTTCTATTTAGTTTGGATGATAATCCAAACCAGACTGTGATGGACTGGTTTTACACCACATGCATCATAATCAGCACCTAAAATACCAGTCCAGTAGGTGCAATGCTGTGATCAGTGATAGATTAAGATGCTCAGGTTGTGAACAATATTATGCATAAAAAAAATTTACGACCAGGTTTAATGAACAAAGGATTTTGTCTCCTTGTGTACTCTCTGTACCCATGAAGCAAAACATCGTTTTTACTATTAGATTGTGTCGAAGATAATCACTGTTGTCATGTGATCTGTAGACATGTCTGCAGCAAGGTGGTTGTGCGCGTTCATGGACTATTCTCCGCATGTTTTCGAGCTGAACCAGCTCCTCTGAACAAGGCTGGCGCTGTTATTTTGAAAGGTCCGGTATTTTAATCAGCGCTGTTCGTGTTTTTCTAAGTGCATGAACATTTCTCTGTTTTTGATGTAAGCCTCCTCACCATTAAATACGGGTGGGAAGAACGTCTCATCTCATGAGATTTGCTTGGCAATAAATACACAAAAAAACAAGAAAGTAGAGATTTTCCATCTTGCAATTGCAATCAAATGAGAATCTTTGGTGCTGAAAACGATTTTATGCATATCACCAGTACAGGAAGTTGCTGAATGTTGAATGCATCTCTAGACATAAATGGATGTTATGACGATGCTCCAGCAAAAGTTGGTCCAACACAATATTAACTGTAGTAGCCGTAGTATGCCTTCTCTTATGTTTATCATAAAGTGGATTTCCTCGTCAGAAACTGAGACATAATGCGAGTTGTTAGGCTCTTGCTCAGTGATAGCCACAGAACTTGAAGAAAGAAAGCAACACTTGGTGTGCACAAATATTTTCTAATAACCGAGCCTCACCGATGCGGCTGTGAGCCAGCATGTCCGTCACCGCTGCGGTGCGGCTCGGCTCCTGAGGCTGATACTGAGGCTGGTACAGAGGCTGGTACTGCGGCTTGTACTGAGGCTGCGGCTGGCTCTGAGGCTGAGGTTTGGCTTCTCCGTGCGACAGCGTAGATGAGGCAGAGGAGGATGTGGAGGAGCCCTGGGCGGAGCGGTTGATCCAACAGTCGGGGCTCTGCAAGCTGGTATTGACTGGAGGTGGGGGGGCGACCACTGAGGACAGTCTGCGCACAGACGTCTCGTCATCAGAACCTGACGACGAGTCTAAAAAACAGAAAGCAACCAATGCTGATTTAAAAAAACTACATTTCCATGTGTACTGTTGGGGGAGCGAGACACTTGTGTCTGGATCTTACCTGGTGGTGTGCGAGTTTCAATGGGGGACTGCACGTAGGTGGACCTCCTCTTGGTGGGCATAGGAAGCGCCATTTTCTCCTCTTTATGTTTAGCCAGGGCGGCTTGTACAGCCTCACTATGAACATCTGCACAGATGGAGATCAAAACACACTTTAAGTTAAGAAGCCTTGTTCTGACGACAAATAATTCACGTAAAATCTATTTTTTTTTTTAATGGATTGAAAATGTAAGTTAAAATATACCTTACATTCATCAAAGTCATTTACTTAATTTGCTTTATGATCTGTGAACATTTAGCTTTTTGTTTTTCTCCCATTTGCACACTGGTTGGTTTAAAACCTTAATTAGTTACTGTTGTTTGAAATATCCCAAATACTGTGGAATAAATATATTTGAAGATCTGGGAATAAAAAAAGCCTCTGTATGACATATGAACTAAACATGTACCCCATGAAGAGACAGAAATATTATTTGTTCTCTTCTAGGGCACTAAAATTTATGGAAAGGTTTAAAAAAAAAAGCAATCGATTAGAAATAAAATGTATTACAGTGACCTATTTGGTCTACTTTCATATTGGGAAAAAGATTAAACAGGTTTTTTGATACAGAAAGAAAAATCTGTTAAGTTGAAAAATAATACTTTTTTTTTCCCAATTTCTCATTTGTTACATTTTATAGAATAAAAATACAGTAGTCTCACTTATCGTGGGGTTCACGTTCCAGACATCCCCACAATAGGTGAAAATCTGCTAAGTAGAGTTGATATATTTATTTTAGTACTGGTATTTATAAATATTTTAAGGCTTTATAAACCCTTCCCACAATCTTGCAATGTTCTAAACTATTAAACGCTCTAAAAGAGCAGAGCGAAAGACAGCAGACAGACTGATGCTACGGTTAATGAGCCAATCAGCGCCCGGGGGCGGCCTGGCCATCGGGAACATCCCGGCTCGGTTTGGGTCAGGTCAGCTCAGTTCAAATTAAGGCTCGGTTTGGACTGTGCTTAATTATTTTAAACAAACAATCCATGCCACTCTCTCTGGTGTCCACCTCACCGAAGCTCCCACAGCAGCGATGGGGAAAGACAGACCCCACCCTTCCTTTCTCTTTCTGAGGCTGTCCCTCCTTTCTCTTTCTGAGGCTGTCAGCCTCAGAAAGAGAAAGGAGGGGACCCCTCGGCGATCCGTGAGCAACCAGGCCACCAGGAAACAATGAGTATAATCTTACATTTGTGAAAGAGTGAGTCCTCGAAAGATGAACTGCGAAGTATCGAGGGACTAATTTAGTTATCACCTTCTTCTTCGTCCAATCAACTTCTTAGCCAAAAATACAGATGTGGAATAAAAAAACACATTGAGCCCAAGATGTCTTGATGAAAAAACACTTGTTGCACTCATGGTGGCTGTACAAGCTGCATCTTTTAGTAACTTTACTTTAGTAACTCTTTCCGGTAATATTTGATAGCAGCACATTTACTGTTTCAGCAGAACTGTGTTAAAACCTTTAGATGAGTCCACGGAACCGTCCTCAGAAGAACGTGACAATGTTTCTCCTGGTAAAGCAGGAAGCCACGATGAGAGAACAAAGCTGCGAATGAGCCCACTCGCTTGCCTACACACAAACAACAGTAATAAACACACAGAGACGCTTTCACTTCACGACACCCACAGGCACATTAAAAAGCACCACGTGACCCGGGACACGCTCAGCCCGTGCAGCAAAACATGTGCAACAAAGACACATACTGAAGAAAACACATTTAGTTTGTTCCAGGGACAATTGTTCTGCTCAAACATGGAGAGATTAAAATAAATCATCAAGCACATCAAGCTAGAACGCAGCAGCAGCAGCAGCAGCAGCAACAGGGACCATAATTATATAAGTGGAGCTCTGCTGAGCAGATTGCTGTGGGCTAAATCATCCTCGCTCATAAAGTGTCAAAGTCTTCGCTCACACAGGAGCATCAAGAGAGGCTACAGATGTCTGGGAGGATGAGCTGACTCCAATAAGAACAGTGGAGCGTGTGGAGGTTTACTGAGCGTTTAACTCCAATCAGCGCAGACACCAGTGGGCAGCGGGGGACCAGAGGGGGGTTATACAATGAAGCAATTCACCAACGATGGGCTTTCTTTCCTAAAGACCTATGTCTACTAGAAGATAACGGCGCTACAACGATGGTTCTGATATTACTGTTAATGCTCCTCCACAGGTTCTGTGTGCAGAATGATCGAAATACGTTGATTGATCAAATAAAGTTATAAATACACATTTGCCTCCACTCTTCATTCATTAAAACATCAGGTTGCATTCATGGAACGTAAAGAATCTAAGCAATCTTGATGGGAAATACTGGATCTAAAGCAGCGTTGTCAAACTCGGTTACAAAAGGGGGCCAAAGTTAAAAACTTGGTTCAAACCAAGGGTCAATTTCAAATTTGAGTCAGATGCATCATTTTCCTGGTTGCATGTTCATTTCGTTCTCTGTTGCTCTTTCCTCATCAAAATAAAAGTTCCAAGAAATTTTTCTTGGCTTCAAATTTGTCATGAAAAGTCTACAGTAAACATTGTATGCTAAGCTTGTGGGCACAATGAGAGGTGACAACAATATTTTATTGAAAATATCATCTCGGGGGCCAGATAAGATGTTTACAAGGCCCAGATCTGGCTCTCGGGCCTTGAGTTTGACACGTGATCTAAAGTTCAAATAAAAGAGGAATGTTGCAGAAAACTGATTGTTTTTTTAAATCAATGTAACAGATTAAATATTTGTGATGTGCAAAAGTGCTAATGATAAATCTAAAGTTTTAAGAGATTTCTCAGCAAATATGGACAAAAGACAAGAACACATACAGTTCAAGTGATCAGCTACAGTTCTGTTGGTATTGTGAAGATTAATTCTTTGATTTTCTTTTTAGTACTCAGACAAAACTACAGGTTCTTGGCGATGCAGATTAGACAAGTTTATTTATTCACATTTCCATGCATATTTATCATATTTCTTGGTGAAAACTTTCTTATTAAATGGGATTATTCCATCTAATTCAAATCTGTATCTATAAATCCATCTAATCTTGTGTATTTACCTGAACAGATATTGTGTTGTGGTTAAATTTGATGATTAAAAAACTAAATTTGATGTTTTGTCTAAATGTGTTGCATTATGGGATGACAGTGAAACTATGAATCATTTTCTTGTGTTTTGACAACTTGATGTCTTTTTGAAAACATGACATTAACGGGAACAACTATTCAGTGCATGATTAATGAACATTGTTCAGGTCAGATTTATACTTTTTAGGATAAACGTACAAAAGTATAAGAGGAAAGAAATGGAGATTCTTAATGATAGTTTTAGCTAAAACTCAGACTGTTACCACAGTTTAACAAAAGTCTGACCTTCAGCTCAGCATATACAGCTAAATTGTTAATCTAGCTTTATGTTGCAGACCTCGGGACTGAAGATAAAAGATAAATCCCATCAAAAAGTTCATGCTAAATTGTGTGATTTATTCCTTATGATGAATATCCACAGTTTCACTTGTTCTAAATATGATGAATACAGTATATGCAGGTGTGTACATAGGCTACCTTAATATTTAGACCAGGACATTTAGAGACAATTCTTTTTCAGTCTTTATTGTAATAATTTATATTTCTAATTTTGTGTTGAAGCCACAATCGTCTGATAGAACTGGACTTCGACATCACCCAGAATTCCTGTGAAGCCGCAGCTTTTTTTAGACGACACTTCACTAAAAACAACAGAGTGTAGATCAGACTGGCTTTATATTTAGCTGCTGCAGTGTTCAAGTTGTGTTTATGCGTGAGGGTGTTTTACATCAGAGGGGGGCAAAGAAAAGAAGCAGCAGGGTGACAATCTGAGAAAGCATTTAGTCTAAATTCCTGTGAATAAACAAGTCTCCACAAGCGTTTTGAGCTCTTTCATCTGAACTCTAAAGCTCAGTTTTTCCACTGACAGGTTTTCCTCTTCAGATCTGAGATATACGCGTTTCCTCTCGGTTTCAAACTGCCTGTCTGAGTGGGGGGTCCTCACCGAGGGGCTCCCCAGCTGCAGCGTTGCTCTGCGTCTCTCTAAGGCCCTCACAGTCACAAACAAACTCTTGTTTAATTGGTCCCGTGGAGACGGTTTCCATTACAGTACGTTCAAAACAAGCTGCTGACACCTCTTCAGGGATGTTTCAGGCCTGACGTGGAGCAGGATGAAGTTTTACTCGTGGTTTCAGGGGGTTTCTGTGTTCACCTGATCTGTAGCGGTCATCCCGGGTTCCTCCACCTCGATGCGTTCTGCGGGAGCGGCGTTCACGATACCGGGATGAGCTGGCTGGGGGAGGGGCCTGGCTGGAGGAACTGGGAGCAGGAGGCTGCACGTCATTCTGAGGAGGCGCCACTGTCACAAAAAACAACAATAATAAAAAAAAACATTAAGAACGCTTTAGCACAAGATACATCAACCAGTCTTAATGGGAACATCATTTGTTGTTTATGTGAAGAGAGTGTTTATGTTTCAGTTCTGGCAGATGTCAAGAAGCAGGCAGATCCCCCACCCCCCCCCACTAAAAATGTGCTCACCATTCGAGTGTCCTGACCTTTTTTGTGATGTAAAGGGAAGACACAGCCATAGGGCTTTAAAGCCTTAAAAACTAGTTTTTTTTCTTCCAAAGGCACACTTTAAAATGAAGCGGCATGAGCACAATTTGTAAAAACATTCTCAAATGTGAGAATCGTTCCTTTTAAAAGGCACAAAAAAAACTCTTTTAACAAATAGCTAAATGTATTTCAGTGGTATTGTCAAATGTCCTTAACGTGCATAAAAAACAGCTAAAATAGCATCACATTTGTTCTAAAAAAACATTTTAGGGTGTCGTTTGATATGTACCAATGTAATACATTTTGTGTTATAGTCAATTATCCTTAACGGGAATAAAAATTATGAAAAAATATCACATTTATGTGCTAAAATATTTAGATTCTGTCAATGAACAAAACAATGTTTTGTTTAGTGTAGCTTGATGGATTGCAGGTTACATTATTGCTCTTCCTTAACAAGTCCAACATATAATATTATACGCAAAGTTTGTTTCAGACTTGTTGATGTAATATAATTTTAGATTAATGGAATCGGGGACAAATTATGTTATATTGACTCCTTGGAGGGATATCCCATTGTTGTTTTTATGTTGTTGTTTTTATGCTATGAGCGCTTAGCACATTTTTAGTTAATGTTTTTCTTAGTTCCTATGCTAGATGTTATTACTGTTTTTCTTTTACATTTATTTGTTGGATGTAACGGGGACCCTGTGTACATATTTTTTTCCACCATGTGTACCACATGTGGTGCATATGACAAATAAAGAAACTCTGACTCTGACTAATAAGAGAATATTACTGCTGCTCTTCATGACCTCTAATTAACGATTAAAGGGAAACACCGTGAGAAAATGGGACCTAAGGCCCTTTTCAAACCTGCCCCCGCAGAGTGCATTCAGTCTCCTCAAGTTTATTACTTTTGACTTCATATGGTTCAAAGTCACTTGAGTCGTATTTTAGTGGAGGTTTTTTTAGCATCCACACTCCTGTATAAGCTTAATTACTTGACATGATAGCTATCCATCCATTTTCTTTACCCGCGTCTTCCTTTTTGGATCACGGGGGTCGCCGGTGCTCATGTCCAGCAATCACTGTGTGAGAGGCGGGGGACACCCGGGACAGGTCTCCAGTCCATCACAGGGACACACAGAGCCAAACGAGACAAATAACCATTCACTCTCTCACTCACACTTAGAGACAATTTAGAGTTACCAATCAACCTAACATGCATGTTTTTGGTCTGTGGGAAGGAACTGGAGTACCCGGAGAAAACCCACACATGCACAGAGAGAACATGCAAACTCCACCCAGAAAGACCTCTGGATCGGGATTTGAACCGGGGACCTGCTCGCTGAGAGGCAGCGGCTCTACCAACTGTGCAACCGTGCTGCCCTTTTTGACATGATATGAGAGAAAGAAGCATAATTTGATTCTCCACTGCAGAGAGCTGCAGCTGAGCTGTTTTCTGCACCGCTTTACTGCAAACACAACTTTATAGCTGTGTTTAGTAAAGGTGAATATAATGCTGACTCAGATTGGTGTTTTGTGGTTGACACAAAGCGCACGTTTTACTGATGCTTAGTTTTACAGCAGAGACAACCAGCTCTTGTTTATGTGGTTCTCTGAGTCTGTTTTTCCTGTGTTTCCAGTTCCCCCAGTCTCCTCACGCAGTCAGCTCCAGCTCCTGCCACTCTCACCTGTTCCTCACCGTCTTTCCCCGGGTGCTTGTCACTGTGTGTCTCGTTAGTGTCTGTGTTTCCACGTTGTCTGCAGATTGTGCTGCTCAGCCGCCATGTTCAGCCCCCTCTGCTCCTCCCCACGCCCTTGATTCGTGTAAGTTTACGCTGCCATGTCAGCCTTTTGATTTTGTTTTCTGAAGTTTAATAAATAGTTATTTACTTTATCCTCGCGTTTCCTCGAAGTTCTGTCTGAATTTGTGTTCAACACAGTTCTGATCTTGACACTTTTATTAACAAATAGTTTGAGTTTAAAATGAAAACAAAATAAAGAAGGTAACAAAATAGTATACCTTCAGGATATTCCCAGGGATGGCAATTTACTCATAAATTAGTCGGCAGCAAATTTTTTTTTTTAAACTCACAGATATTCAAGTAATAGCTGCTCATGCGGAATCCCATCAGTTCAGTCCAAGTGATGATGTCTTCAGTGTGTATTAAGACTGTTCACACTTGTACCTAGCACCATCTAGGTGCAAGCAGACTGCACACAATGGATGTTAGTACCAGGTCTTAACGGCATCTAAAGTCTGGTTTATACTCTGTGAAAAGTGACACAGTTGTATCTCAGTGATGTGGTTACGTGACAAAAACAGCCTCTTTTCCCCATTGAGACCTCGTCTTGTGCATGGCCCTCTGTCAAACGGTCAGAACTTCGTGGGCGTTTTGTTTATGAAAAGCAGCTGCAGCACGCTGTTCTCGTTTCTAGCAGAGGCTGTTGAAAAATACAGCAGTTTTTACAACTTTTCCAGCAATAATGATAAAGATGGTCGGATAACGTGTAGAAGGCAAACGCACAATTTTTGTGTACAGAGGAGACAGCATTGAGAAACAGGCAGCTCTCCATGGCTGCACTGACCAGGAGGGAGTGTACCTCATCTGGGAAACGTAGGGACTAGCAGTTGAATCAATTAGTCAATTCTAGGACATCTCGCAAGTTTTTGAATTTCACGTCGACCAGTCGCATTCACGTGATTGCTGGCAGTGGCTAAAAATGGATTTGTCCAAGCAGATGGAAAAAACGGGGAAAAAGTCAGATTCGCGGAGGATTTTGTGCAACGTTTTAGGCCACATTTCCAGAGTGACAGGAGATCAGCACACTGCTCCACTGCTGCCGAAGAGGTCCGTGATTTTTTTTTTGTTACCGCAGATTCCCTCTATGGCAAACCCACTGCAGTAGTGGGCCAGCAATAAGAACAGATTTCCCCGTTTGGCAAAACTCAGCAGAAGGTATTTAGCTGTTCCGGCAACCAGCACTCCCAGCGAGAGAATTTTCTCTTTTGCTGGGAATACCATTACGCGAAACGGTTCCTATGACATCACAGAGACTAGTCGACGTCGGCTCGACTTTTATCATGTTGAAGTCGACTTTAAAAGAATACGAAGTCGTGCAACCCCTAGTAGGGACACACTCCAGCACCGTCTGCCAAAAACAGTGGCGGTCTCAAATTTACAAAATAACGCTTCTCCTCAGATAATTACACAAATACCAGATCTTCCTTCTCCACTTTTTCCATCATCAGCTGAAAACAAACATCCATCTCTGCCAACCGTTTTGTCTGTTCTGTTTCTGTTTGTGCGTGACATGTGCTGCAGTAGGAGGACTTACCAGGACTTCTCCTTCGCAGTTTCTCTGAGTATAAACTGTCTACATGAAATAGAACATCGCTCAATCACATCAATAATATCCGATTTCTTACCTCTACCTTAGCCTTAAGACTTCTGGGATTTACCAAGTTGACTTCTAACTGTACCTTGTTTTATTGTTGCAGTGAAGTTTTGTGCGGCTAAAAAAGGCCACGACCAATAGATAATAGTGTCACCAGGACGGAGTGAACATGGCCAGCAATATTCAAGCGAGCACATACTAACATAAACATCAGAAGTGACAAGAATAACTCATTCTGCTAGACTGTCTTCCTTTCATTGCATATTTTAGTGCACTTCACATGTGCCAATGGGACAGGATTAATGTGGCTCACTTTGCCTGATGGTGTATTTTTATGGTTTGGCACTAGGAGACAGTAGTGAGCAATAAAACATATTAAACAACACCAAAAAATACACATATTTCATAAAAACAGCTATTAATGAAGTGTTGTACATTAAACTTGCATTACGTCACAAAACAACTCTGTGTTAAAAAGAAAAAAATTAAAAATGGTTCTCATCAAAAATGCACTTGTCAATAAAACACTGAAAAGTATTCTGGAAGAAAAAGAGATCAAACTTATAGGAACGCTGTGCTGAGTGCACGCAAAAGTTAATGCAAAGAGGTGCACTGTACATAAATAAATAAGGAAATGTGACTGATGCAATGGTCAGAAAATATAAGGAGCTCTTACCTGGAGCCTGGATTATGTATGGAGCCAGAAGTTTGGTCCTTTTCTTTTCATAACCCTTCTGGGTGATATCACCTACAGAGAGAAAAAAAAAGTTTTTAGATTTGAACGCATGATCTTAAAGAAACATTTAAAACACTCTACTTCAATGCGGAATTTCTGGACCTTCTCTAATGAGTTTTAAAAGGAGCCATCTGTTTAAAGCACAATAGATGTGCTCGAGGAAGGAGGCAGTAACACAGATAAGACACACAGGTTGGAACAACAAGTAATGAAGAGGATGGGAAACAGATGGATGCACACGGTGTTGCTGTAATCTCTAGAGACGGCTGCCGGTGTCAAAGATAAGGCCTCGGTGAAGACAAAAACAAAACGGGAGTAAATCTGGACATGTACGGAAGCGTGGGCAAAAGAGGCAGAATGATTCAGGGACTCTGAGCAAAGATGAAGATGTATAAAAGCTGACAACATAAAAAAGCTGGAGGAGGCTTTAGGTTAAAATGGAAATACAAAGGAGAAAAAGAAGATGATGGGAGGGTGGGATAGCAGAGGTGAGAGATGGAGGACAGAGGGAGAGGAAACCCTTAGTGCTGTAAGCAAGAAAAGCATCCATTCAGCAGTCCCCCTGCCGACAGTTCATCTGCTTCTTCCTCCGTACCGACAGACTCAACACGAGCTCACCTAGGTCTCTGATGAACCTGACGCCTGGCGGTCATTGCCGAACTCTGCTGAGGACAAAGCTGTCACATTTTCAGATCTACTAAAAGTCCATCTGTACAGCCTGTCCTAGAGTCGCATTCGGGCCCAAAAAATCCAACCCGACCAGGCCCCAGCCCATAGCCATAATTTCCAAACCCAACCCGACCTGATGAATTAACAGTAATTACAGGTCCGAACCCCAAAAAATCCAGACGTTTTTAATTAAGCTTTGACTGCTTATATAGTTATTAACGTTGGGTGGATGTGCAGGGCTAAATAAAAGGGGGCAGAAGACCGGAGCTGAGGGGGTGTTTGTCCTTTCATGGCCGTCAAAACTCTTTAAATTCCTGTTTCTGCCTGCATTCTGCATTATTCAGACATGGACCCTGCTTTGACATGTCTGCGAGGATATTTTGGGATCTCACCTGTTTGGGCCACCGGCCGCACGCTTCCACTGAGTGCAGCAGCTGAACGTCCATTTGAGCTGTGATAGATTGCTGCCTGGCAGTCCCATCTGAAGCTTAACTGAACTTTATTTTACCTTTTTCAAGGCTGGTCTGTGTGCGGTCAAATGGCTGTGTGTGGCTGGTGATTTTATGGCAAGCCATGTTGCCATATAACTGGATTGTCAGCCATGCGCGTCCGCTGACGCAATCAAAAGCCCAACACCGTCCCGGCCTGTCCATTCAGCACATTATTATGGCCCGGTCCAGCCCAGGCTTTGGGCCCGGGTAAGAAATGACAGCTCTAGCCTGTCCTCACTTTCCCCAAAGCAACGAGTGCCGATTCATGTTTGCCAGTTCTTGCTCTGACACCTCTAAAACCCTCTGGAGCAAACCAGTTATCTTCAAACTGAAACCTAACTTTGAAAACTAGGGAAACCTGCACAGCAGAGTCAACGTCTAATCTTGTTTTATGAGAGTGTGTCATTGTTCTTTAAAAAGAACATGTAACCCTTAAAGACAGACAAGAAAACTGGAGAGTTTTGTGTTTTCTCTTCCTTGTTTTGACACTGGCTGTATTCCTGATTCCTCATCGGTGCAACTGTCAGGTCTGTGCAACGTAAATCATGTCATATATGCATTGACAGCTCCATGCATGGCGGTAAACTCCATTCAGAAGGTGCCATCAAACACCCAAACCAAGAGCGACGGAAGAAAAAAACAACACAGATGCTTCTTTTAAAGGAACCTTGAATGAGGGGATTTACTGTTTTTAATAACTGGATAATTTAACACTCAGGAAACACAAAACTTGTGTTGATTTTGTGAAGAGGAATCACTAAAATTTTGAACAGACAGCAGGCAAACCAGTAGATTACTGCCCCCTTCCAAGTACCAGTGCAATTTTTGAGTCGAATGTGGTTGTCAACTCAAAATAGTATGATTATTAAAGACCTTTAATTAAATAAATACACATTTTTAAAGGATGTTCTGCAATTATTTCTTTGTAACCTGCAGTATAGTGCATATCACCCCAATCCCACACAGTTGATTTTAAAAATGGTTAGCCAACAACACATCAAACTAACTTCTGAGCGTGGGCTTTTAAATGATCCACCTTTAAAAATATAATTTGACCTAAACGTTTATAATGTAAACATAGGGTGAGACCACGAGACAAATCTGGAAACTTTCATATTGAATTCTGAAACAGTAGGCTTAATATTAAAACCTGAACTGGGCTTGCACAAATCTTATATTGACACCAATTTATGCACAGCAACACAATGTAAAGGCCAAAGCTGAAGCCGAATTTCGGCAAGAAAACAATGATAGTTATTTAAAATGTTCCAGTACTCTTTAACCACTGCCATATTATTCTTAAACATACTTCAAATAATTTAGCTTCAGACATTTTGTGATATCTAACTCTGACTGTTTTCCTTTGTACCCCTCTAAACATTTTGTGGCTAAGATTTTGAAGTGTAGGTCTGATACCAAGGGGGCCCTTAGCAAAGTATATACACTGCTCAGTTCATACCATGAGTCTAGCTTGGACTCCCTTAAACTGAAATGGGAAGCGGACTTGGAAAAACCCATATCAAACTCAATCTGGAGAAAGATCCTTAAGAACATTTACTCGTCTTCAATCTGTCTGAGACATGCTGTAATTCAATTCAAGGTGGTGCACCGGCTGCACTGGTCCAAAGACAAACTGTCCAAGATCAAAGCCGACCTGGACCCCGCATGCAATTGTTGCAAACAAACTCCAGCTACACTCTTGCACACATTCTGGACCTGTGCCAAACTGCAGACTTTTGGGCAATCTATTGTTAACACCTTCTCTGGGATATGTGGTAAAACTGTTCACCCATCACCACTCGTGTCACTGTTCGGGGTGGTCCCTGTGGACACGTCCCTCAACAAGTGTGAGAGGGACGTGATTGCCTTTGGCTCTCTTCTGGCCAGGAGGCTAATATTGTGAAATTGAAACTTAAGGACCCCCCACCCGGCATATGTACATTCGATAAGAGAGGTGGTCCATTTGGAGAAAATAAGGCACACCCTGAAGGGTTCTGGAGAAAGACTTTGGGACACTTGGCAGCCCTTTGTATTGTTTATAGATAGTATGTCAATGCCTGTTTAATTTGTTTATGTATGTTTGGCTGATCCGGTGTGTGTGTGTGTGTGTGTGTGTGTGTGTGTGTGTGTGTGTGTGTG